AGCAACTTTGGAAGCCTGTCGCTTCTGACGAGTTGCGCTGTTGCTCAATTTCGTTTCGAGGGCAGTGAGCTGTTCCCTGCAAGATGAGAAAGTGAGATCGAGGAGCTTGGCACAACAAGAAGTTTCTGTGGTATTGTGTTTAGTAATCATCGTTAAGAAGCTCTGGAAATACTCCTTTTAGGACGGGGTGAAGTTGACTCCCATTCCGAGAAAACTTTCCTTGGGTTTACTAAGCTGGCATAACTTTCGAACTTACTCGGTGAGGTTGATATCGCCTTCGTACAAGTAGTCGCTGACTCCTTCGATGCGATTTTTCTCGAGGATCGATCCACCTCCAGGAAAGGACGCTGTGTTCACCTTGGTTGATTTCTTAAGGAATACTGCGATTTTGACAATTTCTTGATGAAATGCCCAAATAATAAATGCGTTCTAACATCATCATCCGAGTTTGTTGGCGTTCCCGCCGGTGAAGTGACCACATTAACGAGTTGTAGCTTTCTCAGCCTCTCACGGCGTTGCTCGAGATCGATCCCTCAAAGGCTCTGAAAAATCTCGCCACTGGAGCCGTCTAGAGTTTCAAGAAAGCTACCTTCGCCAAAGAAACCCTTCCTCTATCAGTGAGAGCGAAGCCACCGTCGAGAAGCAGCATGAGCAACGAGACGAACGCCACATATCGATTTTGCTTGGAGGTCATTTCCCTGCAGGATTTCCTGGAAATTATCACCAGGAATAGGGAATTAAAAACGAAGAATAGGAGTGAGGTGCAGGAACAAGCCGTTACTCAGGTTTATTGGTCTGACATCATTTGCTCACTGTTATATACGATTCTGTGCAGACAGATTTATTGAAATTGACGATTTAGTATTCAGGCTTCCTACGGTTATCGTGCTCTCTCGATGATCCTAAAACATTTTCAATCCGATCGGAATATTTTGAACGCAGTGATCGAAGTGTTTACCTCCGTTTACGTTGCCAAACTGATAATCAGCTTAGTAGCTTCTGTACTGCGGTATAACAGCGGACCAAATACCATCTCCAGGCTGCAAGCGGCTCTTTGCTCCATTTCCCTGGGTGAGATTACCCACATCGTTTCTTGGGACAGCATTCAAATACCAGGTTCTTTCGCGACGCATAGCCGGCTTGCACACTTAGAGGCGTTATTTAAGGAAACAAAAACTGAGTCTTAAATTCCAGCAGGCATCCAGTGATGTCCTGTCTCCTGACCGTTTACCCATATGCCGTTCCTTTTTACTTAGAGCTTCCTTGCAAGGTTGAGGTACTAATACAGGTAAATAGAGCTCTC